ATTTTATTCTGAATTGCGTTTGAATTGCAGTTAATTTTATTCTGAATTGCATCTGAATTGCAGTAAATTTTATTCTGAATTGTATCGCAAATTACAGTAAATTTTATTCTGAAATTTAAAATATTACATATACATATAAAACAATTTTGCCCAAAAATCAATATTCCAGTTGCCTGAAAACTTGAAAGGTGAAGTAGCCGTTTAAAATCACCTTACTGAATTTCCATGCGTCTAAAAGACCCCAGAATAACGTTAATAATGTTTAATTGCGTAAATAATAAAATACTTTTTTATAAAAGTTTTGAATTTTTTGTTTCGAAACTAACCTGGGATTCCGGTATATGTTAAATTCCTTAATTCCTAGAAAATTAAAACGTTACCTGTAGGATGGCAAATTGGAGCCGATTTCCCTACAAAAAAAATAATAAAAATAATAAAAAAACGTTAAATTAAACGTTTTTTATTAAGTTTTGTCAAAAAGTTTCAAAAATAGAAACTTTACTTGCGGGATTTCAGTATCCAAATTGGAGCCGGTTTCCCTGCAAAAAAAATCAATGAAATATAATAAAAAAACGTTAATGTTTTTATTAAGTTTCGTCAAAAAGTTTCAAAAATCGAAACTTTACTTGCGGGATTCTGATATCCAAATTGGAGCCGATTTCCCTACAAAAAAAAAAATAAAAAATAATTAAAAAACGTTAAAATAAACATTTTTTATTAAGTTTCGAAAATACGAAACTTTACCTATAGGATTGGCCAAATCAGAGCCGATTTTCTATAAAAAATATAAAAAACGTTAAAAATAACCATTTTTTATGAAAGTTTCAAAGGAAGAAACTTCAAAACTTTACCTATAGGATTGGCCAATTCAGAGCCAATTTCCTATAAAAAAAATATAAAAAACGTTAAAATTAATATTTTTTTATTAAGTTTCGAAAATACGAAACTTTACCTGTAGATTTGGCCAAATCGGAGCCCCGCACTTTGGTGTTCTGGACCTACAAAATTAAGAACGAACGTTAGTTAACGTTTGTTAAAATAAAATAAAAAAAAAAATTTTTTTTTCGAAGTTT